TGTATTAAAATCGTATGTATTTTGCAAATGCTATCGAGCTACCTTAAGCGGACAATGAACGTGAAAAAAGATGGGTCATTGTTAGAGAAAGAAAGTGAAAGCATGAGCGAGCGAACGAATCGGCGCTGGTTGAAAAGAAAATAAAATCCGAAGAGAGAGAAATTACAGCAAGAGATCTCGGCCGCGTTTCTTAACGACGTTCGGCCACGAGAGACGAAAATTAAACAGACTGTCCGCGCGAACAAACGAACGCCGTGATAAGTGAAAGCGCGATCCTTAAGAAAGTCGAGCAGTTTTTTTTCAAACGCGTTCGTAGAATCGATTTTTGAATTTTCTACGAACGAACAAACGAACCCGTACCATACTCGCCGGTCCCTCTTTTCATTTTTTCCTACCCGCCTCCTTTCCTCGGAGAGGCCCGTGCATTCCTGCGGACCAGAGGAATCGTGAAGGAGGATATGGCGATACTCGCCTGGCTCGACTTCGCCGACGTGATTACCACCGCGACGTATCCTTCCTTTCTACCCTCGCCTCGCGCCAGTCATACCACTTTTATAGAACCGCATTATGCTTATACAAAGTGCCGCGCAGAATTTCTTCATACGCAATATCATTTACAGTTCCAAGGTATTAGACAAGATTTAGATCGAGACGTTTAGATAAAATCCTATTAGAATGACTAAGAAGAAAAAGTTCTGTTACATTCTAATAAATGACAAACGAGAGAATTATGCAAGAGGATGTTCCTAACCTTTTTCGTGACAGTAAAAAGTGAAATCTATTGCACGCTTCCGTTCGCATAGTCATTGCATGTACATATGAGGTTGCACTTCTGAACGTGACAATTTACAGATAAGAAATGAACAAAAATTTCTCTGTTGAAAGTCTCTAAGAAAGAACTGATATTTGCAGTAAACTGAGAGTTTTACTCGACACTTGCTGCTTACTGCTCGCTCGTTAGAAACCCGAGACAACCTGTCCAATGCACTACTCTCACTTCCTACAACCCATTAAAACACGCTAATCCGCCAAAGCGGCATTCCAATTACAAAATTCTAGCATATTACATCACTTCGCACGATATCATCGATGCATACGGAGAGAGACAAATTCAAATGACTTCTAATCCCCTCGTATGTA